CTGATGCTGCCAATTGGCCCAGTGGTGAGAATCTGCCTTCTTGACATTGAAGTACCATCAAAGCGCGCTAACCCGAGCCCCAAAAAGCTCCCGACCGATAGAGTGCACGCCGTACTGCAAGAAGCACGACTGCGCAGGCGCCTAGACCGGGAGCGGAAGCGGAAGTCCTGGTGCTTCGCAGGACAATGGCGGGAGCGGTATCCATGCGCGGCAGGGAGGACGCAGAGCCTAACTCTACAGCGACCCCGTGCGGGTGTGTGAAGCCGGCTCTGGAGACAGGTAACTTCCAAGACCCTGGCCGTTCTGAACACAAAAGTAACCCAGACTCAAGAAGCCGACTTTATTGCACAGAGGGACGCAAACAGCGAGAGCTTACATCTATGTGCGTTAGTAATTGTGCCGCCAGACGTCACGTGATGACTCAGCCACGTGAGTGATGCTTTTGTGGCGAGTGGAGTTACGTGCACCACCTGTGTGCTCGTAGTGTTGAATCGTCTTCCTCTGAGGGAGTTCTGACTCCTATGGAGGGAGCCCTTTGGTGCGGTAGTTAGAGCACTTAGCTAGTAACGGAAACGTTGGCCCTTTAAACTCACCTGCAGCTCCTTTGGAGAAGGATTACAGCCTTGGAAATCCTGTGGGGCGATACTGCAGTCAGACTGTAGCGAGGCAGTTGCTTTCCAAGACAGGCTCTTTCTCCCACTAGAAAAGATGACAAAAAGCATTTAATGTAAGCAAGACATAGCCTTTGCATAGCAAGAGACATAACCTTTGCAAAGGGAAAGACATGGAGCATTTCTGCTGGGGGTACATGCTACTTCAAACAGTTGGCAGAATTTTCTAAAACTCTGAGGAGGTGGAATTTCAGTTTATCAGGGGTCTCCGGTAGCCTATTGGGTAAGAAGCTGCGTTGCAATCTCAAAGGCATGAGATTTGAATCCACCAGCTGTTCCGCGGAGAAGCATGGCAGTCTCCTCCCATGTGGTTAACAGCCTATGAAATCCCGCTAGAAGGTCAACTATTAGTTGATTCTGACTCTATAGCACACAATTTACTAGCAGGAAAAGAACATCAAGATTATTTGTGGAAAGAAGTAGGGCTTCTGCACTGGCCCATAGGGGAGGGATTACGGTAATTGGGTGCGTGCCCAGTGGGTCCTGTGTCTGAGTGAATTTCAGCTAAGTCTGTAATTATGGGCAAGGGTTAATTCTTGGTTACTAGTAGAGCTTTTGAGCTTATTTTAGAAACTTATTTGGTTGGCCTGCTTTGCTCTGGGCGTAGGTTACCGTTTGTTGTTAGGTGCTATCTAGTGGACTAGTAGCGACTCTAAGAACAACAGGTGTGAACCATGCCCTAATCTGCACCATCCTCACATCTCTTACATCTCTAGGTTGACACAGTAACTAACCCAGTGCGCCTGAGCATGACAGAGATAGTCAAGTTTCCATTGAAACCAGAATTTTATCCGATGCTAGCAAACACTAGAAGTTACAAGTTTATGACCTTGATGCAAATAGCAGGATGTCAGGAGACATTGAGGAGTTTGGTCCCAGTCCTCAAGACAGGGTCTCTGAGTCAGAATCGTTCAGCAGCGGTGGGGTTTGCCTCCTAGAGGAGAAATAGGAGCTTGCCTTGTGCAATTTTAAGGAAAACGCAAAACTCAGTGCCCTGTTAAGTGGCTTCTGACTCACAGTAGCCCCTCATTAGACTTCCAAGGCTATAAATGGTGGTGGGAGGAGATTGCCCATCTTACTTCCTAAGAGACACTGGTGGATTCAGAGCACCTGAGACTCTCAGCCTTTGGGTGAACCCTGTACCTTGCTATGACTTTGTTAGGTGTCCTCATTGAGTGTGACTCTGATGCTGTGAACAGCCATCCTGAACCAAGCCCTATCTTGTGCCTTCCTCATCATCTCTGACACACTAGAGTCCATGTATCCATCTTCATTGGGAACCTTCCTCTCCTTCACTGACCCTCCCTCTTTCCAATCAGGAGTCCCTTTCCAACGAATAGTCTCCCCTAGCTACATGTCCAAAGTATGATATCAGAACTTCACCATCCTTGCCTCCAAGGAGCACTCTGGCTGTACCTTTTCCAAGACCTATCTGGCTCGTGCTTTTGGCAGTCCACAGGATATTCAGTACTAAATTTCATAAGCGAAGCATCTTTTACAGAAGGAAATAAGGGGAGAAAGGGAGAGTTTTGAGGTAGGAAATAAGTTTCAAGCTAGATACAGAGCGTGAGATTCTCTACGTCTAAATAACTATAAAGGAGGAGGAGTCCTGGGTGTGTGATTGTTAAGTGTTCTGTTGCTAACCCATCAGCGACTATCCAGGAGAAAGAGGAGGCAGTCTGCTTTCATAAGATTTACAATCTTGTAAACCCTGTGGAGCAGTTCTGCTTTGTCCTATCGGATTACTAGGAGCCTACAACATCTGCAGCATATGGAGGGGGAGGTGTGCCCCTGGGTGACAAACAGTTACTAGCTCCACTTCTCGTTGAGATGCTGATTGTTAGAAAAACCTCAGACTGATTTTGAAAAGGTCAAGGCCTTGAAAACCTTAGATAATTCTGTTTTCTCATCCCGTGAATCTGAATCAACTAGAGAACGACTATGTGTAATAGTAATGTGGTGGGGATAGAGACCAGTATGTTAATTTTTAAAATTTTCATTTTAGAGGAAGTAAATAAAGACAACTTGCCATTACTCAGTAAAAGTCTCTGTTGCTATCTTGGTATCTGCCTTTTTGTGTCTGTATGTATGTGTGTTTACCTATCACTTTATTCAAAGTTACAAGTGTAGCACCTATTCTACCTATGTTATTTGCTGCTGTGCAGCTGATTCCAACTCATAGAAACCCTCATAACGCATAGCTGACCCTTCTGAGAGTTTTCAGAGGCAGGAGATTGCATCGGAGGAGATTGCCCATCTTTCTCCCTCAGAGTGGCTGGTGAATTTGAAATGCGTACCTTTGAGTTGATAGTGCAACTCCTTACCACTAAGCCGCCAGAGTGTCCTGTTGTTTTGTGCCATTTGAGTCTGCCGATTTTTAGAGACAGTAAATTGCACAAGGGAGATTGTCTATCCTTCTCTCGCAGAGCAGCTGGTGGATTCGAGCCATGTGCGCCTTTGGGATTGTAACACAGCTTCTTATCGTTAGGTTGCCAGAGCTCCCTAAGTAACAGAGTAGAACTGAACAGCTTTGGTAGGGTTTCAGTAGCTGTAAATCTTTGTATGAGCGAACAGCCTCATCTTTCTTGGGTGGAAGTTTGCATTGCTTAACACATTATGCCACCAGGTCTGTAAGAGTCATAATACCAAAAATCCTGTCAGTGAGTTAATGAAAAAATTCAAACTGACTAAATAACATAATCACCACAATGCAGCTAGGATAGTGTTGCGGCTATATTTGTGTGTTTTTTTATGGTCTCATCTTCAAATTTGTACATCCTGTATAAAATATGAATGTTTCCCAAATAAACTATGAATGTTCCCTTTATAATATATGAATGTTTCAGAGAAGAAACTCCAAATAGGAAGAGGTTAACCTATTCAAAGGATAACAAATAATGGTTTAACTGGACAACTTTAAAATTAGTATAGATGACAATCTTTTGCTATATTTTAGTGATCCATCAAGAATGGGAGAATATTATACAGATTATATAACATTCTTGTCTGGCCTTGTTTTTTGGGGTGGATTTTTTTTTGTTTGTTTGATTTGGTTTTTAACGTCAGTTAAAACATGCATCTTAAATGGAAAAAAAAATTCAAACTCATTGCTGTCAAATGGAACCAACTCATAGCTAACCTTCAAGTGATTTTTTCCAAGGCTGTAAAGTTGCACAGGAAGAGATTGCTTGCTCATCTTTCTCTCAAGAAGCTGTTGGTGGATTTGAACCACGTGCCTTTGGGTTGGCATTGCATGCCTTATCACTAGGCCACCAGAGCTCCCTTTCTTAAACAAGTGCCTTTTCCATGAGATTGCTGAAAAGGACATTACTATGTGTCTGTAATGATAAGGCTATTTATATATCTTTATTAATAGCATAAAAATAATTTTTAGAGCAGTATATAGCACCTTATAGATATAAAAGCAATGAAATAAGTACATTCAAGATCCTTTGGTTCATGCTGTGATTAGTAATTTCTTATCCAATATTTCTTAGGTAATCTGTTGACAGAGCCAATTGGCTACTTGGAATCATGTTTCTCAGCCAAGAATGGCACCCCAAGGCAGCCATCCATTTGTAGCCTTTCAAGGGCTTGTTTGAAGATAAGAAAGAGCATCTTTAATAATCCTGAACACTCCTTGATGGGCCTAGATCAGTTTTCTCATGTCTGGTAAGTTGTTTTAGAGTTAAAAATGGTATTTGGACCACAGCTTGCCACTGAGTAAATAAAGTTCACAGGAGGCAGCCCCAGAGCTCGTCCTTATCTATGGCATGACATTCTTAGATTTTGTTCCTGCATTTGTCAGCATGACTTGGACCCCCTCAGGGAAGCTCAGGACCCACTCAGACACCTGCATGTTCCATTGGCAGTTGGTTCCAATTGTGATGAATGCTCTGTCGCGCTGAAATCTGTTTCCTTCTCATCTCTTCCTGTGGATCATTATTCTGTCCTCTGGGCCAGGGCTCCGATCTGTGGCCTGCAGACCAAATCTGGCCCATTGTCCTTGGAACACAGTTACGCCATCTTCTTTGTATATCAACTATGGCTGCTTTTGTACTTTGATCAGAAGAGTTAGTTATAGCAGAGATTGGTTGGTCCCGAAAGCCAAAAATAGTTAGTTTGACCATTTGCATAAAAAGTTTGCACACTCCTGCTCTAGACCCATGAAGTCTTAAGTTTATTCTTTCTAAAATGCCAGCGAGACCTTAGAAATCTGGATTTTTTAAAAAAAAATTTTTTTATTTTTTGTGTGTTTACCATCAAATCGAATCTGACAGGTACAGGAGGAGACTGCCCCTCCTTCTCCAGCAGAGCATCTGGTGGATTCAAACCATGTACCTCTGGGATTGCAGTGCAGCTATATTATTTTTTTTTATAAAAAGCTATGGCAAGGGAGCTCTGGTGGCCTTGTAGCAAGAAGCTGCACTGAAACCCCAGAGGTATGTGGTTCAAATCCACCAGATGCTCTGCTGGAGAAGGAGGGGCAGTCTCCTGTACCAGTCAGATCCAATTTGACAGTGTGTACACACACACACACACACACACACACACACACACACACACATTTTAAAAAACCCTGTTATGGCACAGTTGTAAAAGTACAGGAGTGCTAACTAAACCATAACAGTTCTAACCTGTTAACTGCTCTGTGGAAGAAATATAAGCAGTCTGCTTTCGTAAAGATTTGCATCCTTAGAATCCCTCTGGGTCAGTTTTACTCTATTCTAAAGGGTCAGAACATGTTTTTGTTTCTTAACGGGGAAGCTGATCTCTGTTCATTTTTCCTCACTTCAGTCAGGAGGCTAAATTTGTCTTAAGTTTATTGATGAAGACCTAAAATTGTTTCTTTTTAAAATAGTTTTCTTTGTTTTTCTTTTTAGTTTGAAGACATGGGTAGAGTAGAAAGAATATGGATGTTCCTTACCTAGTTTGTACGATCTTGTTTGAATTGTGTACACTAAAAAAAAAATAATTGCTGGTGTACTAAGTGGATTTTGAAATATATGAAGATTCTTCCTGATCTCCCTTCCTCATTCCTTGTTCTCCCTCCCCACCTCCTAAGCATCTATTTTAACAGTTTAGGGTGATCCTGCTAAATAGTTTTTCTTTTAAATGTACGTAGAAGCGTAAATATACACATGCAATGTGGGTGTTTGTTTTTAAAAAAGGAATATGTTTTCTTAACTATATCATTGCAGGCCTTCATATTAGAAGCATTCTGTTTGATTTTGGCAGTTCCCTTCCCCTCACCAGTAAATGATAAAACAGCTTTTGCTCTTTTCTTATTCATTGGTTGGATTTCTATCCATTAGGATTTTGTTTGTTTTTCACAAAAATGGTCGTTTGAGCTGTAAGGCCAAAGTGCAGCCTCCTCGGCTAAATGGAGCGAAGACTGGTGTTTTTTCTACAAGGAGCCCTCATCGTCCCAATGCCATAGGACTGACCCTGGCCAGGCTGGAAAAAGTAGAAGGTAACCTATTTCAGGTCTGCTTTTAACTTGTTTTTCCTTCACCTGAAAAGAAGTCTTAAAAAACAAAGATAATATTCACCACTGGCTATTATTCTGACAGCCATCAAGAGTGAACCACCAGGCACTGAAGAAAATGATTAAAAAGAAATGCTGGCATTGAAAATGCTTTGACACATACTCTCCCAGGATGCTCACAATTTGTGTGTGTCATTGCATATCTTGAGAGCTCTTAGGATTTTATAACCATTAAATTAATAAATGAGAGTGATAAAAATGAGTGAGTTAAAAAATTAACACTCAGCCTGATAGAATGAGAGAAAGACAGGGAACATAGTTCAAAATAAGCAAGAAGACCAGGCTTACTGGTCTGAAGGTAACTTGTGGAACCATTGAGGCAGCAGCCCTGAGCCACCCATTTGGCTAGAACGGAAATCACCCTGTGAATCAACCTTGAGTCAAACGACAGGCTTATAAGGTGATCAGTAGCACCAGCCAGGAACACATACAAGAGCAAAGGGCAGCCTTTGTTCAGGGCTAAAGAAAGAAGGGCTAGAAAATGATGGATGGAAATGGAAACACAGGAGGAAGTGGGACGAGTGCTGTGACACTGCAAATTGCACTCAGTGTCATAGAGCATAATGTGTACACATTGTTAAATGGAAAATAAATTTGCTTTGTAAACTTTCACTCAGATGACAGCAAAAACCCATTGCTGTCAAACCGATTCCAACTCTTCACTGCTCCTCTGCCCACTTTCCGAGGCTGTAAGACTTTATAGGAGGACATTGTCCACCTTTCTCCCTAATGGGTTCAAGTTGCTGACCTTTTATTTAACAGCCTGACACATAATACTCTGCACCAACAATGCTCCCAATTGTGATAAAAATAAAATACATAATGCGTGTTAACAAGCTAAATGCACCAGTGCTCCAGGGCATTGCTCACTGTCCCGGATCAGAGTCTCTTCAAGCTGGTCATTCCTGCACCATGCACAAAGGTGCTCTAGGAGAGATGTGTACTTGAGTTACTCTGCAGGATCCCATCAGAAAGTTTGCTTATGCCTGGTGGAGCCAGAAAGACTTTCCAGAAGAGGTGACAGACACTTCAGGGCCTCAAAGAACAGTGGGAGTTTAACAGGTAAAGAAGAGGAGGGACTTCTAAACATAAAGGCACATGATGTTAATCTGGTTTGTAAGAGTGACAGTAAACTTGGTGAGGTATAAGCAGGCTGGGTCAGAAAGAAGATTTTTAGTATTATATCCTCATTAGGAGTTCTGGGGGCCTAGTAAACTGTGCTGCAATCCCGAAAGCATGCGGTTCGAGGCCACCAGCTGCTCTGAAGGAGACAGATGGGCAGTCTCCTTCTGTGCCATTAGCTGCCTCTGAAAACCTGCCAGAGGGTCAGCAATGGGTTGGTTCCGCCTGTACAGTACGCAACAACAACAGCGTATTCTTCTTAGTTGCAATATTCATTGTTACTGAATCTTCATAGAGAATATTTTTTTTCACCCTGTAGGTGGAGCGATTTACCTCTCTGGAATTGACATGATACATGGCACTCCTGTGCTGGACATTAAGCCCTACATAGCTGACTATGACTCACCGCAGAATTTGATTGAGCCTCTGGAAGACTTTAATTTACAAGATAACAAGCATAAGCCAAGAACTGTGTTTGGGTCCAGTTGCATGACTGGTAGGTGGGACCAGCAGCAGCTCACTGAGTGCGTTGAGCCACAGCCCTGCAGTAGCACTAAGGAGAAACCTAAATGTCCTGAAAACAGAGCTTCCCAAGGAGAACATGTGGAGCATGATGACACAGCAGACGCTCGGCCCTCCTCTGAGCCTGGAGAAGTGGCAGCAGGTTTGGGTTTAGAATCGAGACGAGATCAGAGTGTGGAAGAGCAAGTTGGCTCCCGTCATCTGGAGAAGAACTTTTCTGAGGGAGGTGCAGATAAGAGGTCAAAAAGACAGGAGGCAGCCATCCTACCAGGAGCCACTGTGGAGAGACAGCCTGGGGCCCTGCCCTGTCCTTTCCGAACTGCTCCTGAAGCCCACCACAGTGTGGTGCCCACCTGGGTGAGAGAGCCACCTGTGACCACGTTAGATGTTCGCTTCACCCCTCACGCCGAGCTGGACCTCAGGCGCCTCAGTTCAGGTAAGCTGAGTACCTTCAGTTTTTCATTTCCAAATGAAGGGTGAGCTTTTGCTGTGAGAGGAGCTTGGTGCATCTGAGTGCAGTCACGTGGAGTATTTGTCAGTGTTGGTCCTGTGGGTAAACGCAGCAGTGTAGGGTAATAGGTGATACCATCATCTGAGGTATGTTTCAGCAGCTATTTGTTCAGCACAGTTTGTTCCAGGCATGCAGGAGTGTTTGCTGAGAATGGCTGTAGCCTCATGAAGGCGTGTTATTTAGACCTGTTAAAGAGTTTTCAAACAAGTAGAATCTAAAAGTAAAATTATGCTTGTTTTATCTACCATCTATCAATACACTTGATGCCAGTAGTCAGGAGATCAAGGAGACATAATACACTGGGAAAGTCTGCAGTCAGGGACCTCACCAAATTGTTAAGGAGCAATGATGTCAGTTTGAGGACTAAGGTGTGGCTGATCCAGACCGTGGTCTTTTTAGTCAGTTGCTATGCTCCTGAGAGCTAGATAATGCATAAAGATAGCAGAAGAAGAAATGATACCTTTGAACTGTGTTGTTGGAGAAGAGTACTGAATATTGCATGGACTGCCAAAAGAACAAATAGCTATGGTCTTGGAGAAGGTGCAGCAGCCAGCGTGTCCTTAGAGGTTGGCGAAGCTTTGTCTCACATACTTTGGGCATGTTGCTATGAGAGGCTATTCTTTGGAGAAGGACATCATGCTTGGAAAAGTGGAGGGACTGCAAAAGATAGGAAAACTCTCAACCAGGTAGATTAACACAGTGACTGCAGCAATGGGCTTGGGTATGTCTGAGATTGTGAGGCTGGTACAGGATAGGACCAGATTCAGATCTGATGTTCATAGGGTCATTATGAGTTGTACTTGACAAAAAAATAATAAATTTTTAAAAAAATAGAGGGTGACTGATATGCCAAGCCACATGATGATTGCATAGGAGCAGAAGCCAAGAAACAAGGATCTTCCTCCCCAAGCTGACACAGAGAGAACGCCTTGCCCAAGAGCGAGCACGTTGAACTTCTAATCTCCTAAACTGAGAAAATAATATGTGCTTATTAAAGTTTTTGTTGTTGTTATGTGCTGTCTAGTTGCTTGCGACTCATAGCGACCCTATGTACAAGAGCTCTAAACTCTGGTCTGTCCTGTGCCAATCTGATTGTCTCTGACACACTCATCCCAACTGCCCCAGTCACCGAATCAATCCACCTCCCAGAGGGCCTTCCCCTCCACCCTCCCAAGCATGTTGTCCTTCTCCAAGGACCGGTCTCTCCTTACAACATGACCAAAGTATGTCAGACGAAGCCTCAGAATCCTTGCCTCCAAGGAGCAGCCCGGTTTAACCCTCTCCAGGATGAATCTGTTTGTTTTCTTAGCAGTTCTTGGTACCCTCAACACTCTTCTCTAACACCAAAGCTCAAAGGCATCAATTCTCCTATCCTCCCTGGTCATTGTCCAGCTTTCTGACGCATAACAAGTGATTGCAAAGACCATGGCCTGTACCAGACGCACCTTAGTCTCCAGAGACACACCATTGCTCTTCAGTACTTTATTAAAGTAAAAGAAAAAAAAAAGAGGGTGACTATGTTAGACCTCATTGAGGATGCCTCTGAGCAAAGGCCAGAGAGATGAAGGGCTGAGCCACACACGTGCTCAAGGAAAGGACGTGCTGGCTGGAGGCATAGCCAGTCACAGCTTGGAGTATGCATGGCACATACAGGCTGTGTGACTGTAGCTGACCGCGTGAGGACTGAGAGGCTATGGGGAACGGGAGGGGAGGTCAGGAGATGAGGTTCCTTGGGGTGTTCTAGGCTTTCCTTCTTACTTTGAAGAAGTAGAAAGCAGAAGAACTTGGTGTCATCATCCTCAGAGAGAAGGAGCCACCCCAGCAGTTAGATCCCAGCCCAGAGTGGGCCACAGGTGACTTCCAGTAGTGACTAAGTTTCCGAGCCCTTTTCCTCTCAGTTGGTGACATGGAGTTAACCATCTTCATGTGAAAGTTCAAGGCGATGAGACTGGACCTACATGACTTTGAGAGTTAACATTGTGTTCTTCTCATTGCAGATGGTGTTCAAACTGCATTTAAGTATTTTCAGTCAGCTGAGGAAGCAAAGCGTGCCATCGAGGCAGTGCTGTCGGCCGACCCTCGGTCCGTGTATCGGCGGAAGCTCTGCCAGGACAGGCTGTTCTATTTCACCGTAGACATCGCACACGTCACTTGCTGGTTTGGTGACGGCTTTGCAGAAGTTCTAAGGATCAAGCATGCGTCTGAGCCCGTCCACGTGCCTGACCCAGCAGAGTCCTTGGTGTCTCTGGGATCCTGAAGAGTCTCCACACTATAACTTGAAATTGACTTTTGGATGTAATTTGGGGATTTTCTGTGCAAGCCAATAATTGTTCTTTGTAGAAGGAAGCAGTATTTTATGACCTTACTGCTTTGATTGATTTGGGCAGCAATGATGATTTCTTTGAATAATTAGGTTTTTTGACGTGTTTTTTTTTAAATATATTAAGTTGCATTTATTCTTTGGTGCTTTATTTTTTAAAAGTTAATTTTGTTGTTGAAACTCTCAGACTCATTGCAGTGGAGTCAGAACCAACACACAGCTGACTCTTATAAGTCTTCACCAAAAAACATGTGTTTCAATAAACTTGACAGAGAGAGTTCAGAGCAACTGCTGTGAGCCTCTTGGTCTGTTATGAAGAATTCAAAGGGATACTGTTTCTTTGAGTTCTGAAAGAAGCTGATGTTCCTGGGATGTGATGAGACGAAGCAGAGACAGCTGGTGCAGGGAATCTCAAGTGAAGGGTTCAAGTCAACATTCCCATTGGTTTCATGTCTGAAAAAGCCTCACCTCTATTTTATTCTAAATTGCAATAATCTTTGTTGTTGTTGAATATGGGCAAGTCGGAACTGACCTATATGCTACCCTCCAGCAGGTTCGCAGAGGCAATAATCACACAAGAAAGTGCCCATCCCATGGACCAACTGGTGGATTTGAACCATGTGCCTTCGGGTACAGTTTCTTACCACTAACTAGACCACCAGAGCTCCTTATAACCTTTTCAAATTAACAACTCAAAATTAAATAGCTTTAGCAATCTTTATGATTAGACTAAGCTCTTATTTCAGAGACTAGGACATACATACATTTGATACTGCTTTAATCCTAACACCAAAAGAGTGACATTTCTTTGGATGACTGTATCAGAAAAGGAGCCTTTATAAAACAGTTCTTGGTTCATGTCGTATTTATGTGTTCTATGCCTTGCTTGACAACTTACTGCTAGCTTCCATCCAGTTGAGTCCCAGTGGTAATGACTGTAACAGAATGAAACCTTCCAGCTCTGCCCTTCTCACTGCTGTACTGAAGCCCACTGCTGCAGTTACCATGTCAGTCCATCTGGTGGACGGTTTTTCTTTTTCACTGAGCCTCTGTTTTTCAAGCATGATATCCCTCTGTAGGACCTAGTCTGTCCTGATGTTATGTACCATCGAGTCACCTGTGATTCATAGAGGACATGTACAACAGCTCTGAAGCCTGCCCTGTCCCGTGCCAGTCTTACTCTAACACACTTACCCTATTGCCCCATTTACTGTTTCAGTCATCTCATCCAGGGTCTTCCTCTCCTGCACTGTCCCTTCACCCTTCCAAGCAGGATGTTCTTCTCCAAGGACTGGTTTCTTCTGGCCATGTGCCCAAAATATGTGAGACGAAGCTTCAAAACTCTAGCCTCTAAGGAGAAACTTGGTTTCACCCTCTCCAAGACATACCTGTTTTCTTGGCAGTCCATAGTACGTTCAAGACTTCTCTAGCACCATAACTCAAAGACATCAATTCTTCTGTCATCTTTAGTCATCGTCCCGCTCTTATTCATAGCAAGAAATTGTAAAGACTATGACCTGAATCAGGTTCACCTTAGTCTCCAGACTGACATCATTGCTTCTCAATACTCTGGAGATGTTCCTGACAGCAGATTTTTCCAGTGCAATTTTTCTTCTGATTTTCTGATTGCTGGTGCCAAGAGTATTGAATGTTGAGCTGAGCAAGCTGTAATTGCTAACAACCTCAATCTCTTCTCCATCCATCATGGTGCTGCCAATTGGCTCAGTGGTGAGAACTTTTGTCTTCTTGATGTTGAGTTTCATATTCATATTGATGACAGTCCTTGGCCTTCTGCAGCAGGCACTTCAAGTCTTCAGTTTGAGCAAGCAAGGTTCTGTCCTGATAACATGTCTGAAAAGGTGAAATCTTACCCTCCTTGATTCCCAGGAACACTGGCTGCCCTCTTCCTTCAATACAGATTTATTTTGACAATTCCTAGGAAAATGACATCATGCTTGGAAAAGTGGAGAGTCAGCAAAAGAGAGGAAGACCCTCCGTGAGCTAGATCGACACAGTGACTGCAGCAATGGGTTCCTGTATATCAGAGATGATGAGGATGGTACAGGATAGGGCAACATTTGGATCTGCTGGTCACAGGGTCACTATGAGTTGTAATCGAGGGCACATAACAACAAATACATTGAGAAGAGAGCACTGGGTGTGTAGTTGGTAGAGAGTTGTGCTGCTAACCCAAAGACCAAGCCTTTCCAGCAGTTGGAATCCACCAGCAGCTCTGTGAGAAAAAGATGGGCATTTATAGCATGTATGACTTACAGATACAAAAACTCACTGGAGGATCAGCTGTGACTTGGGCATGACTCAATGGTAATGACTTTGAATGTATTAAAAATTCTTCACCAACACCCCAATTCAAAGGCATCCGTTCTATGACCTTGTTCATTATCCAACTTTCAAGTGTCTATGAAGCAACTGAAAATGCTTGAGTCGGGGCCACTTACTCTCTGAAGGACTGACTAGGGTCTAAATTTTGGTGCTAAATGAGATGAACAAGGTACAACTCTAGTTGCCAGTCATAGTAGGAGTAAGATAAAAGCATGATTGCAACATCATCTGATAAATCAGTAATTAATTTGTACAAGGTCCTTGTGTGTACCCAGTAGGAAGCAATTATAAAAATGTATTGCCTGTAGGTAATTTTAATGATGTGATCCCAGATACCTGGCTATTTACACCCTGATGTAGCCAAATTAGACACCTGTCAACATGACATAGGCGTTCTAATCACAACTGTAAATCTTAATAGATCGATCAGAGTTTTGAAATGAACCTTACTGCCTGTACATACTTGTAGGGTTATTTATGACAGATGATACCATACTTTGGAACCAAATGAACTCATCCTTATTTCTGATGTTACTTAGAACTTTTTGGGGACATGCATTTATTTTGGGTTAAAAAAACCTGATAGTAAAAAAAAAAATCCAAAATAACAACAAAAAAAATCCCACCTGATAGTTAATTTTGAAATTATTACAGATTCACTGGAAGTTTTAAGACTAGCAGGCCCACATACCCTTCAACTATCTTTACTCTGGTGGTAATATCTCACATAATTAGAGTATAATGCTAGAAGCAGGAAATTGACATTGGTGCAAACTACCCTTTAGTCTGATTATAATTTTCTTTGTCCTAAAAAAATATTTGAAACTGAATCAGGACTTCATTGAGCTATAAAATGTTCATATTTATGTGGACAAAAAGAGATGATTTTTAACCATCCTAGGAATTTGTGTGGATCATAACAAACTGTGGCTGACTCTGAGAAGAATGGGAATCCCAGAACACTTGATCGTGCTAATGTGGAACCTATACTTGGACCAGGAGGCAGTTGTCAGAACAGAACAAGGGAACACTGCATGGTTCAAAATTGGGAAGGGCATACGCCAGGGATGCATCCTATCTCCATACCTTTTCAACCTATATGCAGAACAGATTATCTGGGAGGCTGGCCTCTATGAGGAGAAATGTGGGGTCAAGATTTGTGGACAATTTATCAACAATCTGCCTTATGCAGATGATACAACCCTGCTTGCTGAAACTGAAGAGGACCTGAAGCACCTGCTGCAGAGGGTCAAGGACTGCAGCCTACAATATGGATTGAGGCTCAATGTCAAGAAGACAAAGATTCTCACCACTGGTCCAATTGGCAGCATCAGGATGGATGGTGAAGAGATTGTGATTGTATACAGCTTTAGTTTGCTTGGCTCCACAGTCAACACTCTTGGCACCAGTAGCCAGGAAATTAAAAGACGTATTGCCATGGGAAAGTCTGCTGTTAGGGACCTCTCCAAAGTACTGAAGAGCAATGGTTTCACTCTGGAGACTAAGGTGTGTTTGATACAGGCCATGGTCTTCTCAATCACTTGTTATGCATCAGAGAGTTGGACAATGACTAAGGAGGATAGAAGGAGAATTGATGCCTTTGAGCTGTGGTGCTGGAGAAGAGTATTGAGAATACCAAGGACTGCTAGAAAAACAAACAGATTCGTCCTGAAAGGGTTAAACCAGGTGGTTCCTTGGAGGCAAGGATTCTGAGGCTCCGTCTAACATACTTTGGACATGTTGTGAGGAGAGACCGGTCTTTAGAGAGGGACATCATGCTTGGGAGGGTGGAGGGACAGCGCAGGAGAAGGCCCTCTATGAGGTGGAGTGATTCAGTGACTGGGATAATCGGGATGGGAGTGTCAGAGACAGTGCAATTGGCACAAGACAGTAGAGTTTAGGGCTGTTGTACATAGGGTCGCTATGAGTCGCAAGCAACTCGACGGCACATAGCAACAACAACAAGGAAGTATGCTAGGGTTTTTCTTTCACATTTGCGGCACATAGAGCAAAAAACAAACCCGTGTCATTCTCTGCCCATTCTTGTCTTTTCTGCCATGCCCCTGGCTCTTCCAGGCCTTTCTTCAAAGCCCTCAGAGGGGGTCTTCACCCCTGCTTTCTGCAGCTTATGCTCTTTGAGCTCTGGTGGCACAGTTCGTAGGGTGTTGTGCTGATAACTCATAGGATTCACTGCTCTACTAGTTCGAATCCATCAGCGACACCGCATAGCAATCTCCTATGTGATTTACAGCTTCCGAAAACCCATTGGAGGGTCAGCTATGAGTTAGGTCCAGTAGGGTCTCGCTTCATCCTAGGGGATTATTTTGATTTTCAGGCTTTTCTTTCCCGGTGCCTGTAGGGGGAGCTCTTGATATCTGCTTTCCCCCCAACCTCCCCAGAGCTGGAAACCTCCAGGAATAAAGCTTTTTGAAGTAATTTTGCCTTTATGCCTAACTGCCGGCTTTCAGGAATAGAAGCTTTAAAAAAAGATCTGTTTCATGTGAGTAAAAATTTTGTCAACCTCTGGCTTTTTTCTAACAATTATTCGTAGGCAAGAATTATCAGCATTTGATGTAATTATTACAATGATTATA